GCAAAATAAGGAATTTGAAAAAAAAATTAGGAAAAAAAAACAGATTTTGACTTTATAGTGTTCGCCTCTTTTTTCAATAGTAATTTAGAAATTTATTTTCCCTTAACTCCATCAAACTGCATACCATGTTGCTCTTTACTTTACCTTCCATCTTTATCTCTTGTAAACGTCAAAATCAACTTTCATATTTCAAAGTATCTCATTATATCCTCCTTGTATTTGAATTAGTCAGCAATGAGTTATTTTTAAGTGTTGAAGATTTTGCACACCTAGCCGCTAAGCAATATCTTGAATGAGAGATTTTCCTGCTGGTAGATTTAAGACTTAGTATGAAAGAATCTTAATTTCATAAATTTTTTTGTTGTTGTTATTATGCCCAAAATTTCGGAATTTGCTTACGTATGAACAATCAATCTCTTGCAAACTTGCAAGAGAAAATGATAAGAACAAAAACTCGACAACTTTCCAATTGATTCAAAAAACTAAAGTTTGATACACAATTGTTGTGTATTGAGATGAGAGCTGGTATTTAGAACTTGGAAGCATTTTGAATTATGTGAAGCGGACAGGGAACTGACATTATGACAGAAAGGTCCTGGGTTCGAATCCCGGACAATTCATGGTTGGTCCTTCCTTCTCTGAAAAATCTGCCCTGTCCTTACTATAGGAGCAATGTTGGCTCGTCTAATATAGTGCTCCTGAAAGAGTGATGAACAAATCCGCACTACTAATATCTGAATGAAGAATGTCAATTGGTTAGACATTGAAAAAGAAAAACCATTTTAAAATACTGTATGTAATACTTTTTTTCCAATTATTGTTTTATTGATTTTAAATGTCTTGAACTTTTATTCAAAATTGCTGAAATAAACCTATCTGAAAAAGTTTCGTTTTATTCGAATGTTAAACAATCTACAAAATTTAATTATGTAATGAAAGTTTCAAAAAACTATTGATCATCCAAAATTTAAAAAAAAACATTATTATAACTTTGTTTACAAATTTATTTTTTTGAATGCTGATAAAATAACTAATTGATGAATAAAAGTATAATATTAACAGAATATTAAATTTTAAATGGGAATGGATATAAACATTAAAAACAATTTATGCGAAGGAAAAAAGTTCCCGAGAGATTTTGATAAATTTATTGACTTATTTCTGGTAAACAACGTCAAAAAGTTCAGAAAAGAAATTAAGTGGGTCACGCCTACGTATTGGTCAAGCATTTCGAGTCCTTATATAACATGACTCATATAACATGAATATAATTAAATTAAATACAAACAATACTACATGTACGGATTTATTTCTTTTACTCGCTTTATTTATAATTATTAAGAAATTGACCTTTTTGTTTACTTGGAGACTTATACATCTTTTTGGGCTCATAAATGCTTTACATGAGTAATGATTTGATTGATTATGAGAAATGATAATTGAAATTTTTTTTAATTTGATGAGACTCTTTCTACATTGTAATCATTATAAAATTGAGAAAGAGAACATGCATAAAAAGGTTACTGCTTGGATTTTCTTTGAAAAACAGACTTTTTAATTACTCTTAATGAAATTTCCAAAATTTCATATCAAAATTATGTACACATTCAGCTTTCTTCCTATCCTAGAAACATCCCTTTTTTTGAAATTACTATTTTTTTCATTAATATTTAACATTTTATTTATTTAGTTTTTTGCTTAATATGTATTAATTTTCCTGCTATATTGAAAAGTAAATATATTATTCATTTCAAAAATGTATTTAAATATACTTTTCATGCTTTACATTGACCCATTATTGTTCACAGTGCACATTCAACTTTCTTTCTTTCCTAAAAACGTCCTTTTTTCGAAATTGCTATATTTTTTTTATGAATACTTGATATTTTATTTGGTTCTTCATTTATTGCTAAATATATATAATTTTTCCTGCTAAATTGAAAAGTAAAGATATTATTCATTCTAAAAATGCATTTAATTTAACTTTTTAACCCAATATTGTTCATAGTGAGATGTAATAGATTCAAACTAATTTTCTCCAAGCTGCAACAACAAAAACTGAAAGTTATCGATAGTTAATCTGAAAGTAATTTAAAATATTTTTTCCATGTATTTAAACTCGCTTTTTTTCCAAAAATCGATTCTCTCTGTTTAGAGCTTAGTTTAGATGCCTGTTTTTATTACTGCTTAAAAATATTAGTCCTTTTAACGTAGAGAATATAAAAACACGATTTGATATTTTACGAAACGATGTTCTTATTTTAGTCAGATATCAGGTTTGAAAATGATATTGCCCGAAATACACTTGCATGTAAGAATTCTTATCGGGTATATATTTTTCATGCCCTGCTAGGCATGTAAATATTCAAACAAAAATGTCGTAAAATACTGATTAAACATCCCTAGAAATTTGACGAAAATCATCTTGAGGCCATAGGTGGGGCGAATAGACGGCACCAGAGGGGAAAGGGAAGGCGAAAATCTACAATTACTAATACTACTGAATAATGCAAAATACTACTGAATTGAAAATAAGAATAGAATTATACCAATCAAAAAATATAAATAAAAAAACAAAGTTATGTCCTTTTAATATAATTCAGAAAATAGTTACCCCAGCCTCTTGATATGCAGAAAGAAAATATTATAAAAGTTTATATGCTAATGTATTTTTCCATAGTACTGCTAATTATTTTGATAAATCTTCTTCCTTGCTAATGAAAATGTTATGCATTCGTCCCATCTGTAATTACTATTGCTCAATAATTTTTTGGTAACAGTGCTTAATATTTCCTTACTAATAATATGTAATATTTATTAATTATCCTTTAAGCAAAAGTGTTGGCTTAAGTAAAATATTCTTAATTTTATTTTCGTTCGACATGATCAAAGGTTCTTCCATATTTTTTCATTTATATGTAATTAAAGATGTCGTTCGGGAATAAAAAAGTTTTATTCTAGCGTATATTTTATTAGCATTAGTACCCCGCGGTTAGCATGTAAAAATTGTGAAATTTCTCAAAACCTGCTACATAGTAATTCCTTAAAAAATCATTATCTTATCTAGAATTTTTCATCCACAAAATAAATAAAGGTACTTTCGCTTAAACAAATACGATTTTAAATTTAGGCAAATAAAATGAAACCACTTCTTCAAATACTCGTACAAATCCCAGATGGGATGTAAAAGAATTATTTTTTAATCGGTATCCTTCTGGAGTACTATGTAACTAATCGTTCACTACTATTCCGTAAAATATGTCGACGTAATATGTTAATATTTTATCATCATAACAATATAACTATTGCTATAATTATTCATTTTATATCAACTTTATTTTTACGAGTTATTGAAAAAAAAAATTTAAGGAACTCTTTTATTAATTGATCAAATTTCATCCTAAACAAGTTTCGATTTCTTAAAAAGTTTTTATTTAGTTACAAAGTAATTTATTAAGAGAAAACTATTATCTCATATATCTTATCTTGAACAATCTTAATTTTTTCTGCAACAAAATGAGATAGATAATAATAGAAAAACACACATTATTCAAGTTTGAATTCAGCCTAATAAAATGTTGTCTTCTAACGTAATATAAATGCTTGAAGGGAGTTGATTAATTTTTTTCTTATAATTTCGCTCTACTTAAATATAAAACAATATAATATTGCCATTATTACTTGATATTTTATCATAATAACAGTCTCTGTTAATGTTTATTTTATTTCAGGTTTCTCTTCTATTAATTTATTAATAAAGTTTTAAAAAACTTCTGATGAATTGAATCGCTTTTACCTTGCGAATTTTTTTTATTATTTTACAACTTAATTATTAGGAAGTTTATATACGCCATTTCTCTATCTCTCTGCCCCATCTCTATATAACTAACTAACTAAACTAAATAATTAACTAATACGAATTAATTAAATATGAACCGAAATTAACTATCTTTTACGATGAAAACATTTTATAATAATTTAACAGTCAGAGATTATAAGGTTTTCTAAATGGCACTTAAATTTATTTTCTTGTACCTCTTGTTTTCATTTTGTAAAATTTTTTCACGAAAGTATTTTTTTATTATTTTTTTACTTTTAGACGAAATTTTTCAATCCTAGCCTTTGAAAATAAGATATTGCTTATTTTGAGTAAGCAATAGCTGAAGTATTTATTGGGTTAGATTAGTGATCTCATTTGTAAAAGTAAACATTATACTTAAAAGTCTTTTAGTAAAAAAATGTACGAACCATGGAAATTGTTTTAAAAGCATGTCCCAAAGTGAACTCTTCAAATAAATTTTATTCAAACTCTTTTTTTAAAAAATTTATTATAAAAACATAAACTCAGACAATGATACAAGACCGAAACTTTATACAAAATAAATGGCCAACATAAAACCTCAGATATTGGCAACAGTTAAAAAGATGTTTTTTGAAAAAAACATCTACTCTTCGGAAGATATATACAATTATCAAAATAGCATATAAAGTACAAAATTAATAATTGAGACCCAACAAAATTTAGAGTAATTTTTAGCTCATTGCCAATTAATCTAAAAATTGAAAGTTTTTTTTCTTTTTCAAAAAAAATAAGTATATTATCAAATAATACACAATGGTTCATAAAAAAGCTTGATGTACTGTGTTTTAAGTATTCATAATTATAAATGGTATGCAAATGATTGCAATAGCAGCAACGAAATAAATTATTCTTCCAAATTTTACGTCACAACATTGATATTAGTAAACTAAAAGTTTATTAGTTTATTTCTAACATAACTTTATCGAAATTTGTCAAAGTTAATCGTTAAATATAAATGCTGCTTAATCAATAGAAAATGTTGAATCAAAACAATTCATAAAAAGAGAAAGTAATTGCCAAATCAAAAGCAGTAAGCAGTAAGCATAAAAATTTACATGAAAAATAAATAGAAACTTTATACATGTATGCGCATATATATATATATATATANTATATATATATATATATATATAGAGAGAGAGAGAGAGGACATTTTCTTCATTCTTTAATTCTTCAATTTTATTGTAAATTGAAATTCCTTACGTGGAATTTAGTCAATCAAATATTTATTTTTAAACCCAATATCATCTTTTATTTAATTTGTTCAATTTATTAAACATTTTAAGTTAGTATATATATTTTCCCCATTATATGCCTATCCAAAGTTAGATTATAATACCTTTTAAAATTATTTTAACATTTCTGCTTTTAGGTAGGATCAACATCAAATAAAAACACTGAACTATTCTCTTGGCGCAACATCATTTACAAAACAAATTTCATAAATCTTTACCCTAAAATACTTGGTTAAAATTTTAACTTTTCTTTATGATACATTCAAATTACGGACCACAATGAGAACGATAACAACTAACTAAAGCAAACCATAGTTCATAGCATTTTTGGCGAATATTCTCTCACAGTGGTATCCGTAAATTCTTACTATCAAACAACTTGGCAGGTAATCTAAGCATTTGTTATAGTAGACTAGATATTTTGAGTCCATCCTGTTTCGCCAGTATATCTTGAATACAGGTGCCTCGTGATGTTCTTTCAAAGTAAGATGGAATATAATTAGTTTACAAGCACACGTATGTATCCTTAAATTATGGCTTATTTGCACGGTTACTTTGAGGTTATTCTTTCATTTTATAGCTATATTTGTTTTTGGAGTTTACTTTTTCTTTTTGTGGCCGTAATCTGCCCATAAGCTCAAATCGATATCTGGCAATTCACTGCAATGTGTCACAGGGTTTCTGAAAGGAAAAAGAAAATTAGTATTGCAATTAGCAAAACACTATTATTTTATGCATTTTCATTTACCTATTTTTTATTGTTCAGTTGAAATATTCTCACACAGCTATACAGTTTAAACTAAAGTTATTTAACTTTGGAATTTCGAACACCAACACTGTATTTTTGCTACCATTTTTGGTGTTGAATTAAACTAACTAAGTGTTTAAGTTCGAAACTGGAGTTATCATGAGAAAAATGCATAAAATTGGCAAAATAACAAGAATTAGTGCGAATATATTACTGTATAATATGCTTGTTTTTTGAACCAAATGTTTTTGCACTGAAGCCATAAATTGATTCGATTGGAATGAAAATAATTGTTGTTAGTAAATGAATAATGAATAAATAAATAAATAAATAAAACTAAAACAAGGAAAAAGTAAATGAAAAACGTGACTTCATGCATAATAAAAAATTTTATTTTACCTCAAGAGCAAAAATTGTTTCAACTACATACAAAAACAATTTTTTAATTACAGTGCAGTTTAAAGATAGTGTAATTTTAAATTACGATCTTTAAACTGCACTGTAATTACACTGTTGTTTAAGCAGTTTAAAGATCGTAAAGATCGTAATTAAAGAGTGAAAAATCGGAATTTTCTTCAAGTTAAGGGGAGTAGTTTAAGATTGCCAATAAGATTGACATAATATAAGCAGTGATATTTTTAACTCCTTGATTTTTAATTTAGTGTCCTTATTGACCACTAAAAAAAATCATAAAAATAAGGATAAGCAGGAAAAAATATAGCAAGTAATTCGTCAGATAAAAAAAAAAAATTCTGATATTTAGAATTCAGATTTTGATTAGATTCAACAATTCATATATTATAAATTATAAGATATTAGAGTTCTTGAAACATTTTTGATTTTAATTGAAAATGCAGTAAGAGTATTCTTTGCTAAGAATGAATAAAACAAAACAACGTGAAAAGCACAAATAAAGGTTCAGAAATGGATCTGTTAATATGAACTTTTCTCGATGTCTAAGCAGAAATGCATTTTGTATTTTTTCAATTGCATCTGTATGTTGTAAATAAAATAAAATTATAAAATCAATTATGCTCTTTTTTATTCAATTGTATCATTTAAAAATGAAAGCAAAATTTTTATTTTTGTTTCATTGTGGCTCATTAAATAGTTTCTTAGGCGTTCGTGAAATATTCTGTGCGGAAATGTTTAGTTAATGGAAAAAGGAATTAGCAGGGGGCACCCGGGTTTGAACCGGGGACCTCTCGATCTGCAGTCGAATGCTCTACCACTGAGCTATACCCCCACATCAACTCACTCAAATTTTTAAATTGAGTTTTTCTGTCTTGTTTACATCGACTATTTGCTAATGAAAATTTTGCTTATAGATAAAGAAATCAGTAAACTCAAATTTTGTTTTGAACAAAATAAAATTTTGAAATAATTTTATTTCCTAATTTTTCGTTTAATCGAATTTTATATTAAATTACATTTAAAAAATCAAATTAGAATTTTTATGTTTGTTTAATTGGTACTTTAATTAGTATCTTAAACCTTCATACAATTTTCTGTGTATTAATCTTCAGTTAAGAAGGGTAATAAAAATACAGGGGGCACCCGGGTTTGAACCGGGGACCTCTCGATCTGCAGTCGAATGCTCTACCACTGAGCTATACCCCCATATTCTCCGAGAAAATACTTAAAGTTCCGTTTTAGATAAAACCTGTATCTATCACTCGTAACCATGACGCAATGACGTGGAGATAACTGGGCTAATTCTTATTTTATTTATCTTTTATTCCTAGCAGTATTTTATTTATTTTTATTCTTTTAACCTTAGTCCAAATTCCCGATAAAGTTTAGAACAAATATATAATGAAACTAATTCAGTTGAAAAAGATTTGTGAAAGGTAATTTTTCAAAATATCGGTTTCCAACATTCACTTCCTTCCCCTTTTAAATGCTACCAGACCGGACACATGGCTGAGTTTTTTTTAATTTTTTTTATTGCATTTAAAATCTCTTTCATTTCGCTACGTTGTTATATTTATAAAATACGTCAACTAATATATATATATNNATATATATATATATATACTAAAGTAATTAAATTCTATATAAAATCACTGAGTTAATTGTATATTGTAAATAAATTTACTAAAAAATTTCTTTGCTAATTTATATAGTTTTTACCATGTGCAAATCCGTGGTTAAAATTATGTGAAAAACAGGCAATTCATGTTTCTTTCTCTTTTCTATTTTTTTTTCTTAAATAAGTGTTAATTTTCTAAAATTATTAATTGTCAACTTCTTTAAATTACCCAGTATAATATTACCTTCCGCACATCCATTTTCGGGCCCATCCTTGGTAACTAACAAATCAAACGCACATCTGTACTGCAGTAAGAATGCACTTTAATACAAAACCGCTATATTTGCGCTTTTACCTCAATTTGCGCTTTTGGTTTCATATTTTCAATCTGGCAAACTTGTTACGAAAATATTTCAAATCATTCTTGAAAAATTTCCCGTTTATGTAAGTTCATTTAAATTCGCCACTCGCTTTCTAGATTTCGTTTCATGCTTTATTCTGTTTTTTCTTTATATTTTATTTCCTGTTCTTACGTGATATTTTTACTTAATGTGTTCTATTTCATTTGTTGAAAATTTTTTGTAAAAAAAATTTTTTTTGGATTGCTCCTCACACTATTGTATTGATATATTTTGTGTTGGCTATATTGATACAATATTAGAAAGCACTACTTTTGCGGATATAATCGTGTAAACAAGAAACTGAGGGGGGGGGGGAGGATTTTTTTTCTGTGAGTGGTTCGTGGGGTATTCGAGCGTTGCTATCGAGAATTTTGCATTTAATTTAAAAACATTCTGATAAAAAAAATTTCTTATGCAAAGATGGTTTGAAAACATATTTAGTACAATGTATGGTTATTTACATAATATCTAATGACGATACTTTTTGAAACTTTAAAAAACTTCAACTTTTCCTGGGGAAGTTTTAAATCAAGCGATCATAATATTTAAATGGTGCAGTTTATGTATATTTCAGTAGTAGAGTTGAGTTTAAAACAACACTATTTTTTTAATCCGCTCAGTAAAGAACATAAAATGGAACTGGGAATGTTGTATTTGACGGGAATAGGGCGATATTAAAATATAGCATACAAATAAATCACTGTGCATTTTCTGCTTTCTCGTAGTGGATAAACCATGTTCAGTAGAGTTGAAATGCTACACCTCGAAAATTTATAAAACACTCTTTTCTTCATCTCCACCTAGTGTCGCCATTATTCATGCAAAAAAAAAAATACCATTCCAATTTTATTTTTTAAGTTTCTTATACTGGGAGAATCACGTGGCAATTATGTAAAAGTTTGTGTTATTTAAAAATATCAAAACTATAAGTATTCTCACCGTGTGCGGTTACACACACCTCCGATCACCGTCAACCAGAAATATGAAAACCTGATTGGTTAAATATATTTTACCTTGAGAAACTTATCAGGTACGGCTTATTCTATCGGAGGTACGGAATTCGGTGGGAATGCTTCTTAATTCTTACATTGTAGCGGAAATTATAGTCCTGTACCCCTAACCGTGACCTTCATACATAATTGTATTCCATTTCATTTCCAGAGAGGCATGTCTCCCCATAGCTATTTAATATTCACAATGCATTTCCTCTTTATTGATTTTTTACAAATTTTGAAACATTGCGGTTTCTTATTCTATGTAGAGACAATATGTCAGTCACATATTGTCACGCATTAATGAACTCTCAATCGTTTAATCTCGATATTAATATGTAATTGGTGATTGCTATACGGAAATCTGATAAAATTGTGATGCATGCCGTTTTATATATTACTAATATGTTGACACATAAGTGCAAACAAAACTAAAAAACCCATATCTAATGATGCGAATCAATATCACATGAACTTGATTTTTATTTCTTACAATAAATTTTTCATTGATATTTCTTTCTTTCAAAATTGCAAAAATTAATTTAAATAAACGGAAATGTAAGCTTTTCTTGAATGAAAACATGAAATAAGTCACTCGGAACTGAATAATTCGATAAAAAGATAACAAAATGGTGAAAGAGATCAGAATGTTCGTTTTCGCGTGTTTTAAAAAGGATGTTACGGTATTTTTAATGACACATAAATATGAACAGAATGTTGACTGAAAAATGTCTGGTTTTTATTTATCTAATACCGTTGAATATCTGGTTTTTATTTATCTATTGACGTTTATAATCTACGCGTTTGAAAAATTGATTAATGATTTATCAAAAATTACCATATTTATGATACCTTACAGAATTTTTGAAAAAGTTTTTTAGGGAAAGTACAGATTGTCCTAAATGAAAGGTTATTACAGAAATTTATAACGAAAAACTGTTAAAGTTAAAAGAAAAATCAAGCAAAACAAATTGCAAAATTTATGCACCAGATCTAAATTTTACTTTCTAGAGCTCCGGTTTTAATTCAAAAAGGTTTCGACAGATGTCACTGGCACTGCAAATCTTTTCTACTGATCTAGAAAAGCTAATTTTGTCCAGTGGTTACTTATGTGACAAAAGACCAACCACACTGCATGTGATTGCCCTAGACAGGTGTGTTTAGGAAATACATATAAAATAAACTGTTCGCGTATATACTAATCGCATAGATGTGCGACCGCATATGCGAATCGCCTGCAATGAGAATACACCAGAAGACAGATAAGACATAATGAAAATATTGTAGTTTTATTTCCATATTTTTAAAAGACTTTTAAATATTGTGAAAGGAATTTTACTATCATTCATTAATTTACAAGTTTAATACCAGCAGCACCATCTGTGGGGAAAATTTTGTTCTATAATCAAGAACTCTGGGGAAAAAAAGTTTATGCCCAGCACATAGACGTGCTGCTAAAATTTTCCTTTTTTTATATTTTTGAAAACTGTTAATCTAATTTAGAATTATTTCCATCTTATTGAAATGCTCGATTGCTGTAAATGCTGTAAATAAGCTTATACGCTGCATTAGGGTTACATTACATTATATGCGTACGCGAAATATTTAAACATAGCTTTAAAAATGGTTTATATTTTGGACATCGTTGACTTTTTCAAATAGCTTAAACTGTGCTGTTAAACAGACTTGAAAATATTAATTTGTGATACTTACGCTGTAGATGGGAACCTAAACGCGTATTGTTGAATTTCGTGAAGATGCGTATTTTCACAAACAATTTTGGCTAATGGTGATTTCTTAATAGATTCCAGTTGTTCTGTAAGCAAAAAACATATATAAGTATTTCATAATGATTTTTATTACAATGAAATGTTAAATCTTCGTAGTACAATTATTGCAATTCCATTCATATTCGCATAATTGGTTAAAGATTTGTCTGCTAAAAGCATATTTTTAACTCAATTTGCACCACTCGAACTGAAATTTCATTATGATTTTAAATTTTAATGATAATTTCATAATTTATCCAGGATTTAGCCTATTTTCCAGTTCGTATTATGATATATTCTAACCATAAAATAATTTACAATTTGAAATGAGTCGGTTTGCAAAAAAGTAGTGCATATAGTTTAAAACTATTTTTTATGTTATCTTTCAAAAAATATAAGACTACTATCAGGTTAAATAATGAAATCAAATATTTTTGGAAATCTCTCTTGCATGTTCCGTTAAAAATGAATTTTATTGTAAAAGGTACCGTCTTCCTGAGTGTCTGTACCTTTCACCGTAATGTGATTCAGAATTTTCACTCAGCAGTACCAATGCATTTAATTTGTTCTATGGTACGCATCCTTTTAGCGCATAATACCTTACTTTAATGAAGATTGACGAAAAGAAAAAGAGAAGTTTGCTGAAATTAAACAGCAGCATTTAAGTTTCAATTATTATTTTTCACAATGTTTTTAATTCTTATAGCCACATAGGCTGAACTCTTTAAAAATTCGAGTTTAAGGAGTCTAGATGGTTTTAATTTCATCGAAAAAGCATCAATGTACAATTTTTTTCTACTTCCCATATCTTACTTAAATCTTAACTGGGGATTTAGAATTTTTTACTGGAGTTTATCATAGATGCAGAAATTATTTAAATACAATTACTTGTGTGGAAAACTTTGACAAATTAGTTTCGTTTCGAGCTAAAATTTGCAGAAAGAAAGACACTATGGCGTTTTGCGCGTATGATTTAAGTCATAAAAATCATATTAAAGACGTGAAACAATTTTTATGGGCAATAAAATATGTTTTTTTCAAAGCCATTCTAGCTTAAAGGAATTGAGAAATCAACAGAATTATTTTTTATTTAAAACAAACATAATTTTTTGCTTAATTTTATAACTTTATAGAAAAAATATATTTTGACCAATATATATATTTATATATTGGTGAAAATGTATATGCTGACAGTTGGATTATAGTTTTTTGTAAATTTGTTGTTTTTTTTTTTTTGATTTATATATATATATATATATATATATAAAAGGGATAAACATTTTTTTACATATAATATCATTTTTTTAAGAAAAATTACCAAAAATAACAAATTTATTTTATAATTTTTCAAATTTAGAAATATTAAAAAGTTTGAAATAAAATTACAAATTAATTTTTGGGTATTATCTTACACTTGGTGCAAAATTTCTCAGAATTAGACAGGTCAAAACATATGTAATTTTTTCTAAACTAATTGAAAAAAAATCGAAAAAAATCTTTGCAATAGAAACAAATAATGCATAAACTAATACAAATTATCCTTTTACCCAATGAAAAAGATCCTGTTTCACCATGATGTTCGAAGTAGTACCTGTCCCCGAATTTAAGATGATAAAATTGGATACCAATAATGCATGCAAATGTTGGGCCTACAACACCTTCTGGAACATGGCTTTCTGATGTACCTCCAGTATATAGATCAATATCATGAACCGAACTAAATTAAAAACAAAATTAGCATAAGTTTTACATTGGAAAAATCGCAAATTTTTATTTAAAAATTCAAAAAATTCAAAAGATATTATCTGTAAAATGTGGGATAAATTTGATAGAAATGCTCAAATATAGTTACAATATATGAATACAATATATTACCAGAAACGTCATTATCATACGATATTGTAACTTAACCGGAATTTCTTTCTCCGTGTACAAATAGAAACCTTCTTATGCCATTTCAAGTCCGTGTTTAAAATTTATATAATTATTTTTACTTCATAATACAAATTCATTAGAATATTATTGTTTTCATGAAAGCCAATATTAGACAAATTCATAGGAGTATTATTTTTATGAAATCCAATATTTTACAAATTCATAAAAGTATTATTGTTCGCATGAGATCCAAGATTATACAAATTCATAGGAGTATTATTTTTATAAAATCCAATATTTCACAAATTCATAAAAGTAATATTGTTTTCATGAAATCTAATATTATAGAAATTCTTTAAAGTATTGTTTCATGAAATTCAATTTTTCTTTAACTAACGGAGCCATGGTTCAATGTTTTGGGAAATTTCAACCCATCAATCTTATAATAATTCATTTGATATAGAAATTATTTTTAAGAAATGCACTAAAAATGCATGTTTGCTTACTGATAGATATCTTGTAACTTCTTCCTTCTTTCGGGTGTCATAAACCTATCGAGGTCTTCGAACTTCTTGACTTCAACTCCAAAACAATATTGAATATAGCTAGTATAGCCTTGAACACCATGATCCCGACCTCTTTGTATGTTGAAGGCAGCCAAATCTAATCCTGTTGAGTTTCCTCGCCGCCTGAGAGATCAATAAAATAATCATCATGTTATAACGACATTCAGTTAAATGGTTTTAAATTAAATTAAATTAATCTAATTATAACAATTTTGAATTTAAAGGTCTTAAGTTTAGTAAAAAGTTATATTAGTTAATTTTATAAGAATAAAATTAAAGCAAAAAAATAACTGTTTATTGAATAATGTAAAAAATTTCGGATCAAATTAAGGTAATAAAATTCATTTTTATCGAATCATATTATGGAACAAAAAACTGATATATAATTATTTTAATAGTAATAATTACAATAAAATCGCTGAATCATTCCAATTAAATTACACCCTAAGTGCAAATACTTTATACCGTAATTTCGTCCCGAATGTTTTTACAGAGTATAATAATTTAAATAGTCATATTAGTTCAAAATTAAAATCACAATTTTAATTTGTTATTTTTTGAGAATTCTTTTACTGTCTGTTTGATATCCACAATCAAATATGCGAAGTAAATAATTTACGCAAAACTTATAAATAAAATTAAATTGCCCTGATTTTCAAAAGGTGTTGATGGTTTATTAGCAATTAAATAAGTTATTAGGAGAAAAAATTAGTTTTATATTAGCTTACGGGTTTAATTAAGTTTTTGGATCGAAATTATCAGGGAAATTATAATGTCAAGTTAACGAGAACAAAGCTCACTTCAAAGCATAAGTTCCTCTTACGTCATATTCAGACACTGTAAAAATTTTCTGTAGATTCTACATAAGGAAAAAATATTTTTCATCGAAAAAAAAACTATTTGAAGGAAGAAAAAAAAATCAGATTTACCGTCCGTTATCCACGGACGGTAAAAAAAAAATTCCAGTTCTTTTTACGGGCTTTCTCTGTATATTTAACAGTTTAAACTGGTTTGTTGGCTACGCGGTTATTCTCTGTTTTTCATCCTAATCCTAATCGGGTTAAATCCGTCAGTTCAAATTCTAGATTTTGCTTTGCAGTCTCGCTTACCGTAAGGTAATTCTACCGTATTTTTTTTTCAAATCATTTTACCATTATTTTCTATACTGATAGATAGCAATTTTTTTGTGGTTTTGAACATCGCATAAATAAAACTGTGATTCGATTTTAATGTCAAATTTTATTGTCTACCTGATTATTATATTTTTTTAGATGTAATTTTTTGGTAAGTTAAGTTGACAAACATTTTTATACGGATGGGTTACTATGGTTTTAAACATTTTTAAATAAGAGATCATTCTTCTTATTGAGACACTCGCGCTGTGGTAGTGCAGAGGACAGATCGTTCTCCTTCCAGTGAGGTATCCCAGGTTCGAATCCCAACGTCGACTGGTCATACGAATGCTGCAAAAAACTCACATCGACCGCACTGCTGACATAATTATTTTATAGAATTTCTTATTTAAATAACTGAATTTGTTGGTTAGCATGTTTGTAACGGAGTTTGTTTGTTTAAATAACAATGCTTAAGAAACAAGCGCTTGTTTTTAAATGACAGTATTTTTCTGTAAAATAATGGTTTTATACTGGCACACCAGCTGACAGTTATTTTCCGTAAATTTAACCACTTTTTGCATTGCATTCATCTAATTAAGTTTCATTCTTTTACAATTTATTTTCAACGATTTGTGAATTTAAATCTTCATGATTATTTTTTAATCCATCTGTTTGTATCCGTTTCGTGCCAAATACATGAAATGTTTGAAATTTGAAGTAATATTGGCAGCTGTAGTTATAAATTGATTTAACAGAGGTTTCGTATTTTAAATATATTCTGTAGAAAGCAACTTTTCTACATATAGATGTTCCAAATTCGAGAATTTAATTTTTTTTTCAATACCCCCTAATCATTTTTACGTAATTAATACAACATAACAAACAAAATACACAATTCTACAATACCTGTATAAGAAATTTCTGACATCTGGCACAAAATATGGATCCATTTTCTGGGAAGGCTGGAGAGTTAAACCTTTCATGAGGGGGTCCAACTGTCCATCGTAGAGTTCGAAGGGGAAGAAGAAGTAATTTCTCAACATAATACCAGATATGTGACCAGAATGTTCCTGAATCTCGCTGAAGAGACCATCAATTAGAGAATGACCGTATCTGTAAGCTGCTGTAGAGAATTCGTTAATCATTGTTGGCTCCATTTTGGAATTATACTGCGTGAAACCGCTCTCCAATACCCACAAACTGTAGAAGTCCATGTAGTGAGATCCCAGAACTGTCGGTAAGTATTCTCCGAACACGACCTTTTGCATCTGACCGCCTAAAATACGCCTAAAAAACAATTCATACAATGTACATTCATTCCATACAATACATTCCATACATTGTATTTCATGGGGAGAATAATAATTACAAATATTTTCTTACATGAAATTTATATACAGATGATAGTTTCGCAGTCATCTTTGCTTTATAACGTAAAACAAAAACAAAAAATTACAAAAAAATATATTTTACATTTACTCTATTTATTTGTTACCCATAACGTACTATATCTTTTATTATTTATTTATTTGTCGAAATTTTAAATTTCTCTCAGAAACAATAATTGACAAAGGAACAAACGCGTCTTTTAGAAGTTGTTTTCCAGTCATTTCGCTCCTCATCAATTGCATGGTGAGAAAGACCACAAAAACCTTGCAAGTTTATCCAATGGCAATGGAAGTCAAGACGCCCGGTGGCTGAGTGGTAGTGCTTCGCGCTGTCGTGCACACAGATCCCTGGTTCGATCCTTGGGCCGGACAAGGTTGACTCAACTTTTCATCCCTTCAGTGGGTCGATAAAATGAGTACCAGGCATGCTTGGGAGCTAAAAACTGGGGGTTCCGAATTGGGCTGGTCACCCAACCGGAACATCTGTTCTTGCACCTCAGAGCCCAAAGGTCAAGAAAATTGAGATGGGTACAGTAGACCATGGCCCTCTACAGGTTGTCGCGCCGCTGAGTTTAGTTTAATGGAAGTCAAATCTTTGACATGATAAAGATGAGTCGGGGTGAGATAAGCATACGGAAAAGATTGGCACTCCTCGCAATTCCTATTTGACATATCAGGTGACAATCTAGTACATTCAAAAGTACCATTTGGAGAAAGATAAGCACACTTCAAGAGAAGCAGTGCTAGTATCACTAAAAGACGTCTATATAGTACTGTTGCATGCATTGTAGCGTCTTATTATATTGCAGTATCTCATTATATTCAAAAATACCGTTTGAAAAAAGAAAAACACACAGCAACAGAAAAAGTGCTCGTTCACTAAAACTCGTTTCTATACGCCTGCATGTTTGACATGTATAACGTCTTATTAGTCGTTTTATTATAGTGACAGAGCCTGACAAAGGCAGGGGCATACGGGACAGTTGCCCCGGGCCCCACATCAGAGGGGGCCCCCAAATCGAATCGAAAGTTTATTTTAGGTTTCTTTCTTTAATGAACTTTTTTTGAACAAAATATCAGCACAGTGTAAAATCCGTCAATTTTATGTTAGCTTCACTAATCTATCGTATGAATACAAAAAATCAATATTTCGTAAATCCATGGCTTTCTAGAGCGGAATTCAGCTAAAGTTTCGCAATTTCGATGGACAAATTTGACCAATCAAAAGCCTGCATTTTTACGTATTGCAAAATGCGATATGTTTACAAAAATACAGGCTTCTGATTGGCTTAAGTTAGCCATCGTAATTGCGAAAATTCAGCTGAATTCCGCCCTATAGTCAGCAAGGATATGAATTTTTTGCAGCTAGATGACAAAGCTAACAATCAGAAAACTGCATTCGACATGATGGACATAGAAGTGTCAGAAAATCAATAAAATTGCTAATTGATACCTCATACATTGATACATTATTAATTAAAATCTAACACATGGCACATTATTAATTGTTATCGTTATGTAATGCATGAGACATACCTGGTCTCCCAAAACAATGTGTCGTCATCCCAATGAGGATTAACAACCTGAAGACCTTCTGCGATTCTGTTATGCTGTCGCACCCAAATGGTTGTTAGAGATGTAAGAGCAGGATGCTGGTTAACACGAACATCGCCTAGAATGCAAATATACAGATGAAGAAAACTTTGATCCAAGAATTGAAAAGCATAAGGATTAATAAGTTTTGCGAATATTAAAATCATAAAATTCCTTTAAAAGACATGTGAAATACTTAAATTTTAAGATTGCTATCATGATTTATGTTTAATTCTAGTTTTATTTTTTTAGAGAGTATATAACATTTTAAGCGCTCAACGAAATTAATAAAACGGATTAAAAAAATATTTATTAAAACCTTTGGAGTTGGGGATGAACGTCTTATTGAATTAGTTTCAAAGGTAGTTCTTTAAATCTTTGCAATCTTTAAACTTTGGCAAGCACTACAAATCTTGATAGTGTTTGTGACTTGTCATTGTATCCATATATTACCGCTGTCTACTTTTACAACAGTTTAAGATTACTATTCTTTTAAAACTTTAACTCTGATTGGAATTTTCATTCCAAAATTATGGTAACATAACCGACAGCAGTCAATCCATCCAAATAAACTAAAAGTTTACGGTAGAGACCATTATTTACCTTGATGATTTTGAAACCGGTTACATCTTTTACGATAAAAAAAATATGAATACAAAACTATACGGTTTTTAACCATTTACAATTAACAACAGTAAAAACAGTACTTCAAAACAGTAGAGAAAAAAGAAATTTAATTGGCCATTTGAGATAATTGTTCAGCTTTATAGTGCTATCATCTACGCGTGAATAAGAGAATTGCGTCCCAATAGCCCACATTTCGTGTGTTAAAGGAAATGGAGAACATATTGCGGTGATTTGCAGATTAGTTCTCCAGACTATAATATGTACCCATATGCAAGGAACAGAGTGGCTTCACTTGGTGGGCCTAGTTGGTGCGATAATATTCTAGTTATTTAATCGTATCAGAGGAAAGCAATTATTAAATGGTTTTTCTCACAGTTAACAGTTTGAATACCATCTAATTTATAGTTATTTGACTGTTTTATTTGTATAAGGTAAAGCAACATTTAAATAAATTGTTATTTAACCATTTTTTTTTTCGAGAAAATTCTAACAGTGTATAGTGTTGACAAACATTTTCATTAGGTAATAAGAAGAAGTATAGTATATCCACACAAAGTTAAATATAACCCGTTTATTATTATTTTTTTGAGAAATAAGCTTTGTGAGTATAAATATATTAAATTTTACTAAGCAAATATGAAAGAAACATTGTGAACAAGTCAGGTATAAACGGAGTTAAGAATTAATAGTTTTATGACATGCGTTATGAATAAATTCTGCTAAAGAATTCCAATCCTGCAACTTTGATTTTTAAAGTTAAAAAACATTGTAAACAAGTCAGGTATAAACGGCATTAAAAATTATTAATTTTATGCCATGCGTCGTGAATAAACTCTGGTACTGAATTCCATCTCAGCACTTTTGATTTTTAAAGTTAAAAAAATAATTTTTTTGTAAGAATACACTAAGCAAAGCAGAAGAGCATCCTTAAGTATTATTCGCTTTTTTACTGATACTTAATTCACTTACATGCTTGTTTATGTATTATTCGCTTTTTTTCTGACACTTAATTCACTTACATGCTTGTTTATGTATTATCCGCTTTTTACTGATACTTAATTCACTTACATGTTTGTTTATGTATTATTCGCTTTTTTACAGATACTTAATTCACTTACATGTTTGTTTATTTTTTAAAAAAATGAAACAGTCTGATTTTACGGTGTTACCCACAGAAAAATAAAAAATATACTTGCTTTTTTCAATATAAAAATTTGATGGCTTTCACAAAAATTATAAATTTTATGAAATATTCTCGCTTAATGTACACTGGTGGACAAAATTAAGAGATGGAAGACATTTTCCCGAATATCTCAAAAAATACCGAATATAAATAAATGAAATTTGGTATGGATATAGCTTATTCCATGATAATAAAGTATGCAAAACAAAAATGAAAGTGCCATTCACTGGCAAGACCTATTGCCAATAAATCCAATGTAGTCTGAACTTAAGGATGAAAGATGACAATAAAAGTGAGGCTTGTACAGTGTGTGTTGCCTCTAGTATGGTGTATGATCACCCCTGACAAACAGACAGCATGCACAACGAGTATGCATGCTGTTAATAAGAGAGTTAAGGAGGACTTGTGGAAGACCCTCCCATTCTTCCACCAGAACAATTTTTAACTCCAGAATGGTTCTGGGGGGAGGTTGGCGCATCACAATAACTCTCCCAAGAGCATCCCAAGCATGTTCAATAGGATTCAGGCCAGGGGATTTGGCTGGCCAATCCATTCGTTGAATATCCTCGCTTTCCAGATACTCATCAACCATGAGAGCCTTATTGGATCGCGCATTGTCATCCATAAAAATGAACTCAGGGCCAACAGCGCCCCTCAAAAGACGCACATAGGGCTCTAGGACCTCCTGCCTGTGCCTCTGGGCATTCACGGAGCCATTGTCAAACACATGGAGCGGTGTGCGGGTATCTTGCATGTGCGAATGAATGTACGAAAGTGCTTTCCATCTATTAATTTTTTCCACCTATGTATTTAATACTAAGTACTAAGTATTATATCGTATTATAACTGCATTATTAATTTTTGTATTACCAGATCTAAAGCAGAATAAATTTCTTTGAGGAACACTGCATTGATCTTCTTTTGGGTTTTCCGTTTGAGGTAGAAGATCGCCAGTATGTGGAACTTTAGTCACGATCAATTTACCTAAATTATAAATGAGAAAAAAATATTATGAATGATATTATTACATCAAAAATTGATTAAAATTTCGGTTAACTGGAGTCTATTTCTAAGGGCAATTAAACAAAACAAAAACACATGCAATTTTATGAACACTATGCAATGTTTTAAATATTAGCAATAAATACAATTAAAAGCATTTGAGGAAGCATTGTTTAGTATGCTGTAAAAATTTCTAGATCAAAGTACGCTGCAAAAGTACCGGCACTTTGGGAACTTCATCCATAAAATCCATTTTACAGCGAAATTCATTTTTATATTAGAATGTCATAACGTAATTTTTACAGTAACATTTATTTAATCGGAGTGATTCAGTGAATTTTACGGTAATTATTACTGTAAAAATAACGGTATGTTTGAATTTTTTACGCAACGTGTTACGGTAAAAATGGATTGTATGGTAAAAAGTACCAGCTCTAAGTGTAGACCAGAGTATTATATTAAAAGTTGCATTCTTTTAGTCTGTAGTATTTGCTATACATTTAAAAATCATGCTCAAAATTAAAGTAATCAAAATATCTTATCTATTTACTTATCGTAAAATGTGAAAACGAAGCGAAGCTATTATTTGAAAATTTTAAATTCCAAAAAATGAAAACTCGTAGATAAAGTAAATTGGCCCTTACCGCCTCTGAAAGTTCTTAATCCTTCAGTTTCGTTCTCTTGTGTGCCATAAATTAAAGATAAATCTACGAAAGCAGTTACTTGATCCATTTGTTGACGAGGCCCTAAATTAAAACATTCAAAATTAAGATTAAACACATAAGCTATAACAAATATATATCAAAGGAAATCAACATATACAATTAAGTTAAAAAGGAAAAAAACACAGCATTATAATATTAAGCCATGTACAACTAAAGTAAATTACATATTCAAAATATTGAAAATTCACAATAATTAATCATGACTGCTGCCGGCGTAACGAAGGAAAAGAAAACATGGAATGTTTTAATGTTAACTCTGTAATAAAATTGAAACAATGAAGAATTTAAAGCATATAAAATGTGTTTTTAATATTTTGCAAAGAGAAATCGGAAAACAATTTTTCCTGTTTTGCCTATAACCTAAAAGGTATCAAAAATGAATTTACCTCAAACTCAGTATGGTACACCACTAAACATAAACAGTTCCAAAAATATGTTGTTGTTTTTTTTACATGTACAGATTTTAAACTGTCGTTTTCTATTAAAAGGTACAAAAAATAAATTAGACTCAAAACCTTTATGGTACACCATTGAACGCAATTAGTTTGAAAAAATTTTTTTTAAACGTCTACAGATTACAAAATATCGATAATTTGTCCTAAAAGAAGTAAAAGAGAAAACAAGTTGAGACAAGGATATTCCTGTCAGTTACTTCAAAAAATATATATAATTGTTGCATTAAAAATGCTTAGAAAGCTTTTAAAAATATGGTTTATTGCTAACGATAAAAATAATTTATAATGTTCTTAATAAAAGTTTTTCATTGTTTTGAAATTAAAAATTAAAACTTTTTTTTTAATAGCTTAAATATTTTTTCCTTCGTCTTTTTATTATCAATATCACTATTTTTAGTATACATGAATTATAAAGCAAAACATTTATAGTTTTTATTCAATAAAACTTGTATAACTTAAAATCGGTCATAAAGTTTTGCTACTAAATTAGAATATAATACAAGGCAAAATTTTACCTAAAGTACATAAAGGACATGGCGCAGATCGAACAAAATTTAGACAATCCTGTCCATATTTAGAATAGAAGGGATCATCTTGAGGTAGAAGCACAGGAAAACATTGAGGATGCGTGTCGTTGGAATGTGGACAACAGTTAATCATCTGAGGCCCTCCTAAAAATAATTAAAAAGTCCCCCCAAAAGTTGAATTAGTACATTATCAAACAGTAAGTACATTATTCCATATACTTTAATTTTTCTTTAACGAATAATATGCATGTTTCTTCAACATTAATATTCTTAACAAAAAAGCAACAGATACAACTGAAGTTATTTATAAAACTAGGAAATATTTGTGTTACTATGTAAAAAAAATTTTGCAAAAATTAGTCTTTCTGAGAAATTTGGACTATTTTAGAAAACTTTTCAGTAAAAATTAGAAATTCCTATTACGAGCAATTGACTATACAGTAATTAAAAAAATTAGTAACTAACAAAAGTAATTATTAAATTTCCAAAGTACATTTAATTTAACTAAAAGTAAAATTAATATCCTGCGGCACAATTCATTATAGAATAGAAACTGTTATATATTTCTCACAATACCAATTTAAAAGTAGATAACCCGAAAGGATAAATTTAACACATTGTTATTTATGTGAAAAATTAATTTATAGATAGATTATTTTTAAAAAATAGACTAATTATTTCATTAAAAATAGAAACATTATTTATTTAATTAAAATCAATATTCTCCTATTCTCGTTTAAAAAACATTCAACTTTAATATAAAAAGTACACATTTTTAACAGTGAATTACATACATTTTTTTCACAGTTTTAAAGAACATAAATATAATTTTGCAAACATAAAATAGTCAAAATAACAAATGATTATCATGTTAAAGCATGCTGTTGGTTTAAAATTGAAGTATTAAGGTTTTAATTGTTAAGAGATTAAATTATTAGAGTCGGTTATGATTAGTGTATATACATCTTTGTTATAGGTATTATATGTTATAGGTATAGGTACAAATTAATTAGCATTTTGATAGCAAGTTAGATACTAAAACAAAATGAAACAAAACTTTTTAGTGCAGCGTTATTTTTCGTTAAAAATTAGAATGCGGAGTATTATTGTTATAAAACTAACTTCAGTTTGTTTTTATTTGTTAGAAAATATTTGTTATTAATTTCCTTGAAGGTTGTTAATGGATTATTGTTATTATTTCATTCTTACCTTGCAGAGCATTATTCGCTGTTAGTTTCGGTTAATTTAATTCTCACTTACCATTTCGATGTTTAGCGCTTCATTGTGTATGCTTTAACTTCTTTATTTTATCAAAACAACTCAGACCCCTGGAGTGGTATTGAAATATAAAGTTAAAATTTGCATCTTTAATTTCGGATCCCTGAAGTGGTATCAAAATATGAAGCTAAAATTTGCATCTCTAATCTCAGACCCCTGCAGTGGTATCAAAATGCAAAGTTACAATTTGCAACTCTAATCTCGGATCCCTGAAGCGGTATCAAAATATGAAGTAAAAATTTGCATCTCTAGTCGCAGATTCTAGCCGTTCTATCGAAATATAAAATTAATATTTTCAACTCGAATCTAAGATCCCTGTAACGGTAACAAAATACGAAGTTAAAATTTGCATCTCGTAAATTTTGTTTCAACTAAAATAGGAAAAATATTTTTTCTATGTAAGACAATTATCACTTGTACATTTTTTACAGTTCAATTTAAAATAAATCAGAACAAAATATTAAAAAATTAATATATTCGATTAAACACCTTAAATTAATTTCAAACGTTTATTTGAGCCTCATTATTTTATTTTTCGTAACTGCAATTTGGTGAAAAAAGAATACGATGAAAAAGAATACTGGAGAAATTTTTAAATCACCCCTCTTGTATCATTAGAAATTAAAAAAAAAAAAAAAAGAAGAAGAAAAAGAATTATTGAGTTCATATACTTTTATTCATATACTTTCATACTTTTTCATATTCATTTTTTACTTTTCTTACTTTTTTCTTATTTCCACTCTTTCTCAACTTTTTCTTTCTCTTTTAAATTTTAAGTGTAAATATCATTGTAGATCATATTAAGCAAACACAATGCAGCGTATTTGCTTTTTTAATAAATAGATTTATATTTTGCGTTCGAATGAATAGAACTGTTCTTAAGATTAAGGTAATTGATAATATTTTATCTAGTTTCATTACAAACATCGAGTAATTTGTACAATAATCAAATATTAAGGAAACTTCCATTTATACTAAACGCAAGCTATTTAGTTTCATTGAAAAGTTTGAAAAAAATATTTATAATTTCAGAAACAATACATTTCTAATTGATTTTAAACTTAACTTCTTTTTATTTTACTATTTTTCTTTTGAGTAAATTTTTAATAACTATTTTTAAACAAAAATATTCACAAATGTAGATTAAAGTGTCAGTAATATTTTCCAGCGTTCTATTTATAAAGTTCACTTAAAAAGTTAAAATTAAAAATTAGATTAACAAATAATTTTATGAAGAAAAAAAACGAAGATTAAGTTGTCGTCATTTCTATTCTGTTGCACTAGATGGCGACACCACAGCATACCATTATATTCAGTTTAATCATTTATGAACAAAATCGCTAAACATCGCCATGGTGTGGCAGATCACGTACCAAGTGGCATACCAGTAATAGGTGTTAATGTAATATCATGGTCAACGAATTGGCCGAAAACCATCAAAAAATGGGTGTGGTCATGTGCTGGACGATCCATGTGACGATGGATGTAGAGGGACAACACTCGTGGAGGCGGCAATGGTTTAGCAGATTTGGACATGCGAGGAACCGATATACCTGAAAAATAATTTTCAAAAAGTAAATTTTTGTAAAATTTGAGCAGTATAAAAAAATTTTAAATTTATTCCAATTTAGATAATAATAACAACTTTTTTTAGTTTTAAAATAATTAAAATTTCTTCAGGAACAAAAGAATAATGCTTTGCGGACGTTCCATTTATTTTCATTCATTATGGTATGATCCTCATAACCAATGTAATCAAATATAACACTCAATTTTAAATCTTTAATTTAGCATTTTAAATTAAGTTTTCTAATCATTTCTTTTAATGAAATCATTTCTAAATTGCTGAATATTAAGCATCATTTAAAACTATTATTTTTTAGTGAATTTAGAAACGTCAGCTTTAGAAAATGTAATAATTGCAAGTAACTGTTATTTCCAATCGCATTTTCTCCATAAAATCAATCTTAATTAATAAATGTAATAGTTAATAAAAGTAATCCAGAGATAAAAAAAAAAGTTGTATGAATACTACTGATGGCAATATGTTTTTAAATCAAACACTTCAAACTTTCTCAGACTGTTTCTTTTTTTTTTTTTTTTTTTTTCAGATAGTATTTCTAAGACATGACTTCAATTTGCGCGCTAATAAAAAAATCTATTTTATTGTTTTGAAGAAAGAAACCATGTGTTATATAAGGCTGTGAAAATCCGAAAGGAGAAACAGCTATCTATTTTCATATAACAGTTTGAGTTAAATGTGAGAATTGTAATTAAAATTTTAACTCAAATTCACCGTGTTATCAGAATTTGTATGATGCATAAAAACTTAAAAAGCGCGTTAGCATTTGTATTTTAATAATAAATATTTATACTTAATATGAATATTTGCGTAACCCACAAAGCATATATCAATTATGAGAAATGAACAATATATAACAATATATAAATATTGTTACAACTGACGAACGATACATAAAACAATAAATAATAAGAATAATAATGAAACAAATAATAATAAATGCTTTACTAAATTTTTGACTTATTCACAGTTCTCTGTTAAGAAATAAAAGCTTGCCACGGTTTTTAAGCAAACATTTATTTTTAAAACAAGTTTAAAGCGAAATTATTGAAACCGAGTCAGAGAAAATATAATCAGTTTAAAAAAGCCACTGTTTTTTTTTTTTTTTTTTTTTTTTTTTTTTTTTTTTTTTTTTTTTTTTTAATTTCTTAAAGAAAATCATTTAACAAAGTTGATATCAAGCTATAGTTGAGACATGTTACATTTACACATAGATCAATTACATTTACCTTTCATTTTCATTACTTCTACTAATTACACTATTTTCTTTCAGAATATATTTCCACCATCTAAAATATAATTGAATTATCCTACCTAAAAACAACTAATTTTTTATTTGAAGCTTTTTTGAAACATTGAAACAGGTTTTTCCTGATTAAAACTTCACTTACTTTAAAGATATATAAATAGGAAATAACAGTTGACATGCTTCAAACACTCAAAAACAGGCTCTCATTTTCGAAACTTTCCAGAAGAGAGAAATTATTAAACTGAGTTTAACTTTTCTAAACAGAAAAATGACAATCAGTTTAAATACAATGGTTTTTTTTAAAATCGATATGCTTGCTTAACTTTGCTTATAGTTGAAATGCTTATGTTGAGTTATAGTTGAAAAAATGTGTTACAATTGCACTCAGATCAAACCTGAAAAATGATTAGGCAATTCTGAAACGGGGTGCCTGTTTTTGACCGCTCGAAACATGCCGACTATAACAGTTCTTATTTATATATTCTTATTTATATATTTTTGAAGTGAATGAAATTTTTAATCGGGTAATATCTTACCGCTTCAAATTCTTGGGATTATTTACTTAATTAAAACAGGTTACTCAAACAATCAAAAATTACTATTTTTTCTAAAACAGGATCCCATTGTTATAAAAACAGTAGCTTTTCCGACAAAGTTCAAACGTCATATGTGCTCATATGATTCATTTACAACAGATTGGTGCAATACCGCCAGCGGAATACAATCAAGATTTATTTTTACTTTCACTTTCCTGTTTTATATTTAACTGAGACTAAAAGTTCCGCATCTTACCATCAGCATAATCCGGTGGCAATAACCTCTGAAGACATGTTTGTCCTTTGCCCCATGTAGGATTGTAAAGATTATTGCAACTCCCATCTATTGACCGATATTTTGAGTCCAGGCATGATGAGTCGGAAAAGTGGCCATGGCATTCTCCTGCGGCTTTCAAAGCCTCCCTTCCTTTTAATTCTTCGTGGGGCAAGGCTAATGTCACTTGTTCTTTCGTCAGGCTGAACCTGTCATAGGTTAAACAATGAATGTTAAATGCATGCATTTGTTCTATTGAAATGATAATATCATTAGGTCTTACAGAAAGAACAGTTATTGTTAGTAAATGGCATTTTAATGTGTTTGGTAACAGGAAGATTTATAGGTGTGTGTGCATTATGAGTAATTGGATAGAATGTGATGTTAGGTCAAAGTTAAATATAGAAAGAATTTGTTTACAAGCAGTAATGAAAGACCGTAATGTTTTCTTTTAATAAATACACTGTAAGAAATTCTGGATCAAATTATGGTATTAAGTTCATGGTATTGGGTTCATTATCCGTAAAATCCATTTTTTACCATAAAATATTTTACTATAAATTTTACAGTGATATTTATTTAATTAAAGTGATTGATTTCAAGGTAATTATTGCTGTGGAAATTACGGTATATCAGATTTTTTGTTCTGTAGCATGGTATGGTAAAAATGGATTTTACGGGCCAGAACTTTTAACCGTTATTTGATCTGGAATTTTATACAGTACGGGGTTAGTTGAATTATGTGACTAGCTTTATGCGCAATAATAATGCGTAAAAAGTGGTTAGATAAATTTTGTAGCTATCACAAAATCACACGTGTTTTTTTTTCTTCAGGACGTTCATTAAAATTTAAAAATTAGTGAAAAAAGTGGGAAACCATGCAAATGAACAAACATGGAAGCTATGAAACGTTTTTAATTTATTTAAGCAAATGAAGAAGCCATTGCAAACAAATAAAAATGTATGAAAAGCTCAAAAAATAGCATATAAAAGCATTACATGTGTTATGAATAAGCTTAAAACTTAGATATCTCATCATTTGAAATGTTTCTGTCGTAGTAAGGCTTCTTATTTTGTATATTTAACAAAGGGATTATTATTATTATACTGAAATAAATAGTTTAAGCATTCATAAGAATTAAAAATTATGAAGTAATTCATTCAAAATATAGAAAAAGTGGTTGAAGTGGTTTAAAAATTTTTTTCAATATGATAATTCACGTTATCATACTGAAATAAATGGTTTAAGCATTCACAATAATCAAAACCAATGAAGTAACTCCTTGAAAACAAGAAATAAGTGGTTTAAATCATTTATTTCAGCATGATAATTAACATCATAATACTGGAAAAAAAATGGTTTAAGCATTCATAATAATTTCTTTGAAACGATACTAAGTTCACCAATGGATGAAATATTTCTCTTTCATCTTGTATGTTTCCCATTGGAAATAACATTATAAAATCGCATATAAAAATAACGTTAATAAGATTTTTATAATACATTGAAAGTATATGAAAAAAGCTCATTAAAAAGCTAACAGATTAAATGAAGCAAAGCATGAAGTATTCCACTCTTTTCTGTAGCATGTGACAAGAATCATAATATATATATATATANATAAACATATATATATATAATTTTTTATTTTTTTTTATAATTATTTTTTTTTATTTATTTTCTTTTATGCCGACCAGGTGGCCGAGTGGTTTTAGCGTGTCTGACTGTGGAGCCGATGGCGGCGGGTTCGAATCATGCTCAGGGCTTGGCTGTTTCTTTCTCTCTGTGTGAATGTGACCCGCCCTATAAACGGGCTTGTCGTTGTGTGACGTGGGCGAAGCTGCTCCACTGCCGTGGCTTCGCCACAATTGTCCACTGGGTAACGAGAAGAAAGCAGTACTGGCATTCCTGTGGTCAATGGGACAATCCCCAAGTGCTTACCATTGAAAAAAAATATTCTGTTTATTATACACTTAAAATCTGTGAAGAAAATTTATTGTTATTAGTATTGATGTCCATTAGTTTTTCCCGCGTTTGAGAAAAAAAATGTTTATGAAACAAGAAAATTTGTGCTAAATGTAGGTTGCACAAAGTAAGAAAATATATTCGCTAATTTCACGAAACCTTCGTTCTTGACGAAACTGTTTCCTGGTATATGCTCAGAGTGAACATTTCGTCAAAGGATGAAATAACAATTGTCACTTCGTCAAGGAAACTAGTTTCGTCAAAAGTAAGGATATATTTCGTCATTCTAATTAATTACGATCGTCGAGTCTTTATTCCATTCTAACTTCGTCACTCTACAAATCACTCAATGTGCTGACGAAATTATTCTCAAAATTTACGAAATACAGCTTAAAGTTTGCAGGATAGTCAAAATTGAGTATTTTATTTCTGAGAGTGTAAATTTCGATTCCAATCCCCATCAGTGTTACTGTATCAATTTTTTTTTTATTTCATAGCTTCATAAAATGAATTATTCTCAATCTACGAATGATTAATTTATGAATATAGAAAATAAAGACTCGTACATATCCTTGATAACGTTTGTAGCTTCTTCAAATTTTTCTGTTGCTCTTTCCATTTTTGATGCTTTCGCATTTGGAGCTAAAAGATGCTGATGACGTCCGGATGATGGGAAATGACCTGGTTTCATAATCCGACCTGCAACAACAACAAAATTGCATTAAAAAATCATATTTGTAAAATTAAAAAGATATTTTGAATAAATAAAATGATTTTTTTTCTTTTTGTTTCTTCAAATATTAAATAAAAAATAATTGGGAATTTTTCAGAGCTGAATATCTTTTGAATTAATTACAGCTAACGAATGTAAAAAATGTAAAGGATTAATTAATATGCTGATAAGCCGCATTTTTTCGAAAAAGGTATGTTTGTTAATCAAACTGCTCTTTAGTATTGTTTCTTGATTTTTATTTCATTATTTTCCGAAAATTACACTTAATATCTTTCAGGATAAGAGCATGATAATTTGAAACATCTAATCCCATAGATGAACATTGTTTACTTTTTTTTTAATTTGACCAAATATGTCCTTAAAAACACTTTCCTGAAAAATAGAAAAATTTAGTTTATTTTTGCATTGCTACATGCTCCCCGTATAACATATTTAAACCATAAGCACACCTCTATGTCGTATCAGTATTTAAAGTCACGAACCGTTACGCTCGTCCAATCCTGGGTATCCGCGCTCACGAACTATCTGGGCGCCTAAATATTGGCTGAACTCTTGTCCAAAAAAATTTACGCACACAAACTTTTTCTATAAATTTCCGTCTTCTCTCTCTTTATTTACTGTACGACATTGGGTTACATCTGTAACGCTAATGTTGCAACAAACGTTATAAGCGTTTAAGATGAGCAGGTGCAATATTGAGCAATATTGTGCAATATTGAGTACAATATGCACAATATTGTGCCATACTGCACAAGATCTATGCACAATATTAATATTTGAAATAGGTAAGTTTTTTTTTTTGCTACAAACTGTTCACTACATTTGTGCTGAGTTAAGTATAAAATTGTAGAAATAATTAAACTAAACTCAGTGGTGCGACAGCCCTAGAGGGCCAAGGACTACTGTGCCCATCTCAGTATTCTTAACCTTGGGCTCTGGGGTGCAGGAGCAGATGCTCCGGTCAGGTGGTCAGCCGAACGAGGAACCCCCAATGTTTAGTTCCCAAGCATGCTTGGTACTCATTTATCGACCCACTGAAGGGATGAAAGGCTGAGTGGACCTTGCCCGGCCCGAGGATCGAACCAGAGACCTGTGGCACGACAGCGCGAAGTACTACTGCTGAGCCACCGGACGTCGTAGAAATAATTAGTAGTGAATAAAAATGTACAACTTTGTTTTATACAGTGCCATACAGTTGCAACTATTTTTTCTGGGTAACAATATTAATTATCATGTTTGTTTGACACAATAAATTCTGAATATATACAAAGATGAGGTAATTTCTAACCTGTTTTAAATATCTTTTTCTCGTGAGCCCTTTTTGCTTTGATAACATGCTCTGCAACAACGAAAGCCTGGTCCATGTCATAGTCTGTAATTTGAGGTAACCATTCATAGTGCGTCCTCTGCAGAATTGCATATCTTGGGGTTATAACACTACTTTGACCATATGTCACTTTAAAAGTACATATCATTAACGTCAACCGCAAAAGCAGCCTGCAAACAAAAATAAGCATGATTATTATACAAAAAATAGCATTCTAAATGCATTAATAGAATAAAAAAAAGTAATAATAAGTGCAATGGAAAGTATAAAAAATTTTTTTAATTCGGAATAACTTACTTTTAACTATTTATTGAAGCACAACCCGAATGAATGACTCACAAATTGATTATAGAACGTATTTGAAATCGTTATGATTATTATAAAAGCATAATCTAACTCTACTTTTGTGCTTATAATAATTATTATAATAAGCACATATTATTATAATATTATAATAAGCGCATAATTATATTATCATAAAGACTTCTTAAGTACCTGAGTCATCCTACAGCATCTCTGTATATTTTACTTCAATATTAAGTTTTAAAAAAAATTCGAAAATTATTTTTTTATTACTTTTGATAAGTCAATATAATAAATAAATTGTTTCGTATTAAAAGTTCTATAATTTATTTATTTCAATCTTTATTTTAAATTGGACTTTAAAAATTAGTCACTTCAGCACTACAGTACTGAATTAATAACTTTCAATGATGGAATTGCCGTTTGCAATTATACATATTAAAATTTTTATGCAGTATGCTTCAATTACAACAAGACATAGCATTGATTATGCTAAGAAAATATAATAGCTTGCTTAAAATTGCAAATAAATAAATTTGAAATATATGTAAAATGTGTCTCAACATTAACACAAAATTTTAAATTTTGTAAAAATTTGACTACTAACGGAAAAAAAGAAAGGCAGAGCGGCAGTTGATATTTTAGGATTATTAAAGTGAAGCGCCACACAAATTTGCTGTTAAGGTATATCTTGAGCAGTGTGTCATTTCCTAATCCAGTAATTTTCCAAATTTGCTGCTTAGAATTGGTTGCCCAGACCATGCGGTTTAACGCTATCTATTTTTTTTCACAAAGGTGTTTCTCTAAAGTCTTAAAAAAATTTGCTATGCAAGTCTGCATATTCATTCAAGATTTGAAGGATAAAATTGAGCGCTGCATTACCGAAATTTTGTTGACAGTCACTAAAATTTCATTAAAAAATTGTGTATTTGACTACAAAGCCCCACCTTTATTGGTCGATGTGTCGTACCAAAAAGCCCTGAATTTTTACATTCAGAAAAATTCTATGTTAGCTGCATCTAAACAAAATCTGTTAAATAAATTTTCTTTACTCACAGTTACCTTAGATGCCGTTCCATTAATAACCATACATGGGATGTTTTATGAATCTATGAAATATTCAACTATTTGTTAAGTGAATTTTGGGACACTTTGTAGAAACAAGTTAACGGAATCATTCCAAGTTAACTGCTTTTTTAATCAATTTCTTTTATGTTGAATAACCTAACAGGCCATTTCTTTCACAACTCTGCACAGTATTTTTTTTTTTAATTGATAAATGAAATATTTAAAAATTTCAATTGAAAAACTATATTTTCTAACATAATTATTTTTAGCAGAATTTTCAGACAGATTTTATAAACAAATAAACGCAAGTAACATAATTGAAATGTTTTTAGAAGTCTGGGACTTAAATTTACTTTATCTTAAATTATTTTTTAATAAAATAAATTTGTTTCCGAATAAAATTAATTCTTATTCAACCCAGTTAATAATATTCTCATTATTTGGACCCAGAAATAATAGAAATAATATATAAAATTGAAAGTTTCGCAACGCAGACTTTTTTTTAGTATTCAAAACTACTTACGGAAATTTTATTCATTTGTCTGGTAAAAATGCACTGTGGTCGGTGCGAGCCGGATGCGGAATTCGTATCGACCAGGCGTCGGTTCACCTTTTCGAAGGAGACCGCTCTATCCTCTGAGCCATAACGGCTCAAAATTCATTTTTAACATATTTGTTTTTAAAGAAATTTTGTTTTATAATTCTGATCCATGGCTCAGTACTCTTTTAAGAGACGATCAACAATATAAACGCATAAAGTCGCTCTTCAATTTCTTATAGTAAATGCTTAAATTCATAAGGGATAATATAGCTAAATGAAATAAATTTCCTTTTTGTTTCCCAAATATTTTTGAAACCATTTAAAAACTCTACTTTTAATTTGCATATTATTATTTAAATTTATCCTCACTATTTGGAAGATCAAAACTAAAAATAAAGGAATTCTAAGTTAATTTTAAATATTTTTTTTTTTTACTTTTTAGCTTAAATGTAATCAATTTTCGTTTATACGACACTAAATTTCATGTTTTAACTGTTAAAAAACATTATTTAAATTTCACAAATGTTATTTAAATTCGTGAGAAAAAATATAATTAAATAAAAATATTCTTTTCTATTTCCAAATTATTTTTATTGTCAATCTAAAATCTATTTTATATTAACATTTTCTTTTTGAATTCATTTCGTATTTTAAACTTCAAACAACAGTATTTACATATAAAACATGAATTATTTACATTTTTGAAAAGGAAAAAGAAAAACATTTGAATGTCAATAGCATATGTAAATTTCAAAAAAGTTCACATTTTGAATATAATTAACAATCATGCAAATAACAAAGAGGAAAAACCTAAAGAAGGAACATAATCTGAAACAACAATAAACTTCACTTTTCTCTAACTCATTGTGTTGCCACCATTATTCTCATAATTTGATGAGTCCACATTATTAAGAAGATTATTTCAGTCTAATTCTAAAAACCTAAATGGAAGCAGCGAACGCTCTATTTTCATACTCAAGATCATCACCTGATATTATCTTTCGCTTTCGTTACAAAAACCATGTCTTAATTCGTTTGCTTGCGTTCAAGTGACCTTGAAAGGTTATTCCCCCATCAAAAGAGAAATAGAACGTGAAGAACTTCAAAAACGGGAAATACGCTTTGTTGTTTAGCTGCTTATTTAAGCCGTTGTGTTTTTGTGTTGGCTCGATTCTTTGATGTTTTGCGTTTTTAAGTGAAAATTATTTTCCTTTGAATTATAAATAAGGTGGAGTTCTTTTGATTTTTCTCGTTTTGTCTTTTAAGAATGAATTTGTATTTTTTCAGTGCATCCTGGTAGCTTTATTTTTTTTTCTTTTCCCTTTTTTTTTTGTTCTTTTTAGTATATTTTTTATTCTCTTAATTATTCATTTAATATTGTAAACACGGATTTATACTCAAGGATCAATTTACACATAGATAAAAAAAAAAACTTTATTTACATTTAACATTAAAATCGATTTTTAGTATAGGAAAATTTAAGAAAATTAGGAAAAATATAGGAAAAATTTATCGTGGTTTTGGCTTTAAGGGAAACCATGAAGCTCGGTAAATTTTACCGAAGTGCTTTGGTAATGATTTCGTTAAAATTAGCAATGAAATATGATATTATAATTTGTGATCAAAAATTTGGTAAATGTGGTAAAATTCGGTCATTTTATTATGATACCTTAATAACTATTTGTCCGATTAAGTTTTCTTTTAAATTTTGTAATTTATACTAAGTGTGTGGTAATAAGAACTAAAATATTGAAAACCAGAACTTCTGGTAAACCACTACCATATAAACGGAAAAGTTACCAGATGAATGACTTAAACACCGTATAGACATAGAGTACGGTAATTTTACCAGAAATATTCATCTGAGTAGTTTTCGACCTTGAAAAAAACCTCGCCCGTGGAAAACTGTAGTTTTTACTTGTAATCGTTACCTTATTATCACATAATTATACTTTGATTGGATACTTCTATAAAGATAGATTTCTCATTTACTGTTTTAAATAACAAGGATATGTACTGTATCTATTAATAATTTTCAGAAGTTATTATTTTTACTTTAAAGTCATTACTTTATCATTGAATATTAATCATATAAATAACGTTGAAATTCCATATCCATTTTATGACTAAACTAATTTTTACAGTGTCACAAATAAAGTTACAAATTACAAATAAAAGCTTATATAACTAATGTTTCGTCTTCTAACCCTTTGGGACACCGGTGTGTACATTTGATATATATCAATTGAAAAACTATATTTTCTAACATA